GGTAGGTGGGGCATAGGGTTCTGCGACGAACATTTCTTTTCCACAACGAATAAACTCGTCGCAGATTGTTTATCGACCTTTTGCGACGGATAACGTTCGTCGCCGAATATAGAAAAATTTGTTGCGACGACATTGTGTCATCGCAGAAGTTTCAGAATTATTTGCGACGAATTTCTGTCGTCGCAGAATACAAAGAAATTTTTTGCGACGGCAGTTGGTCGTCGCAGAATGTTTGTAAACTTATGCGACGACAATTTGTCGTCGCAAAAATCATAGACTTTTGGCAACTGTTAATTGTCGTCGCTGAATGTTACACTGTTTTTGCGACGAATTTCAATCGTCGCGGAATTATTGGGAGTTCTTTCTACGCTTGGCTGTCATCACAGTTTTTATCAACGAAACAAATTTAATCTAACATAACGATTTTTTCATTTTTATAATTTCGTATTAAAAATATGTACCAATAAATTCATGTAGATAAATGTATTTAACAAGTTATAACATTAGCCTAACTGGTTAGTGTGTTAGATATTCATTCGCTTGAGACCATATGGTCAATGGTTCGAAACTCAGCCGAGGCTCAAGTGTCTATTTTTTTAACAGACGAAGAGGGTCATTTACGGGGGCAATTTGCTGTAAATATCCTGAACTATATTGGACAAAACTGCTTGTATATAAACTAAGTTTGCAAAGAAACCCTAGCCGCATTCACTTCCCCAATCCTCTTCTCCTCTGATTTTTTTCTCTGCTCTTCAAAATCCTATCTAGTTTAGCGCAGCTCTTCGCCAATATTCCTCTCCTGTCGATCTGCTCTCTTCTCACACCGACTCCCTATATCTCCTCTCAATTTACTCTCTCTCCCTCGATAGTACTCCCTCTCTTTTTTGGGTTTTCGATTTGCCTTTTCTCTCGGTCGGAGCTTTAGAACCACAGAGACAGGGGCGACTTCACGGCGGCGACAGTTGATACTCGTGACGGCGAGGGACGAAACTCACTGCGGCTTCTTATGGGCGAATCTCACGGCGGCGAAGGCGGACAAAGCTCACGGGGCTTCTGACCTGGTTGTTTGGTAAGTTTTGGTTTTCAGTGGGAGAAGGCTGTCGCTCGTAGCTTTGTATTTCATCGGCGGTAACGACGGCTATGCAAGAGGAAACTCTTTCGGTGAGATTATGTTGCATAGATTTTTCATTGTTTCTTACTGAGTGTTTCAGATCTTGATCTGACTTGGTTGTTTTTGCAGGTTTGGTAAAGAGGCTTTGTTTATATCCTCTAAATGCTTTACATCTGGAGTTTTAGACGGCCAATTTGGATATTGGCTATGAAAGTGGAATTGATACTATGGTAATCTTGGGTGAATCTGGGATTTACTGTTTGACGAGAAGGACGATTTGATATGGACCATAAAATAAATGGTAAATAAGTCCAAAAAAAGCAGAATAAAGTATGAACTAAAATGCAGGAAAACTCAAAAAGTAAATAAGAATAAATCATTTTTAAAAATATCAGAATAAATTGTGAACTAAAATGAGCCGGAAAATTGTGAATAACTCGAAAAATGCCTCTGTTGCTAAAATCAGGTAACCTTCGGCGACGGAATCTTACGTTGCAAAATTTTTATTTTCTGCGACGATAGAGCTCTTTTCGTCGCCAAATGTCCATTTTGCGACGACATCTTCGTCGTAAAATCACCGACCTTCCGCGACGAATTCCTTTATTTCTGCGACGAACCAGTTTTTTTCGTCGCAGAACTTTTTGCGACGCAGTATAGGCGACGAATGTTTATTCTTTTTTGCGACGCTGTAATCCGTCGTGGAAACATTCTGCGACGAAATTTAGGGCTTTCTGCGACGAAAACTTCCGTCGCAGAAAGTGAAGTTTCTTGTAGTGGATTTATGTCAAAATGATGTTAATCATTCCTTATGATGTGATGAACAACAACGCACATGAATTTGCACAAAAACCATTAAAGATTTACTTTAATTTAAAGGATTTAGAGTTTAGAGCTTTTGGGTTAGGGTTAGGGTTTACAATATGAGGTTTAGGGATAGAACTCAAAATTGGAGGTCGAGGGTTAGGGTAATCCGCTAATTAGTTGTTATCATATGCATATCATCATATTACACTAATTCTACAAATTAAAATTCAAAATCCAACACCTTAAGACTAGTTTTTGAGTTGGGTGCATTGAACGCACTCATTTTTGTGAAGTGCGCTGAAGTAGTCACTCATATATATATATATATATATATATATATATATATATATATATATATATATATATATATATGGTGCCTTCTACGGTACCCCGGGTGAAATCCGGGGTACCACATACCTTAAGTATGAAAACGCTATCTAGACCTCGAATTAGCATGATTTTTGGGCATGATACTATACCCTAACCCTTAATGAGTGAACCCTGGGTCCTAATTATCTAAATCATAAACTATAAACCCTAAGATGGAGCATTACTTTTTTTGCCTATATTTGGACGAATCATAACCGTCGATTATTGTTTCTAATTAAATTGATCTTGGGGTATAAGATTTAGTGAATTAAGACCTAGATTTTGATCTTTATGGGTTAGAGTATAGTATAATGTCCGAAAGATCAGTCAATTCAAGTTCTAGATAGGGTTTTCTTACTTAAGGTATGCGGTACCCCGGATTTCACCCGGGGTACCGTAGAACTCACCATATATATATATATATATATATATATATATATATATATATATATATATATATATATATATATATATATATGGATACGACTCGTATGTTCCTGACGCATAGTATGCTCCAAGATTTTCCACCGTTGATCTAATCTAACGTCTGTTATTAAATCTAATTTAATTTATTATTTATCAATAATTATTAGTACCCATTAATAATTATACATACATTATAGTCCTCCAATAATTTTAACCATTAATTTTACTACTAAAGTACCTTGTTTCGTACCTATTTATGTTTAAGTACCCACATTTTTTTTAAAGTTTGTCCATTGAAACTATTTTCTATGTCCCCAAAAGGCGAAAACACATCACTAAGGCCAAAACACATCAACACCTTCAAGCCCAAGAACTGTTGAAAAGAATCGGCTCTCCGATTTCGTTCTACAGAGTTTCTTTTAACGCCTCCTGTCCAATTTCTTCGTTCTGAGCTTGAAACCACTTCTAGGTTGGTAAATTTCGTTTCCTTATGTCTTGGTCTCGGCGGCGATACCATATCGGCAAAGGGAATGGAGAATTCCCGACAAATCTGCTTCCAAATTGCCGGCCAGTTCCACGGTGTTGAAGGGGTTTTACTGGATTGGCACAAACATCTAGGGCAGACCGTGAGGGACAAAATTGATTGCTATTGCTGGGAGATGTCCCGAAATTGGAACGATGATGAATTCGATACTCTGTTGTACTCCTCGAGAAGCCTCTCCTCAAATTCCTCGGTTCTCCCTGCCTGCCGCCGCCGGAAACCTCATTGCCGTGAAAATCATGATTCCGGGAGGAAACCAAGAGGAGGCGAAATCGGAAGCTCGTCGTCGAAGAAAAGCGTCGCCAAACCTATCGAAAACACTAGGTTGTAAAAGGGGATGCTGACATTGGTGGAAAGTGAAGGGGAGGTTGCGGTGGTGAAATGCTCGAGCTATTCGGACCACGATTTCAAGTCTTCAAAGGTGGAGATGATTATAGAGAGGCAGGTATTCGGGGCACTAGTCTCCTAATCCTGTCGTTTTGAGTGCTTGTAAAAGGAAGTGATATTTGATTGAATTTTTGTGCTTGGTTTGCTTTGTGTTTATTCTCTGTTCTTGCAAGTTCTTTGTGTAACTAGAGAGTTTGATTCATACGAATAAGATAACAGAGGGGAGATTTTGTTTATGGAAAACGACTGTGTTTTGATTGTATATTTTCTTTAATTGGAGAGGGAAGCGGATTAGCGGAAGACCATTGTTTTATCAGGGGAGAAGCCAATGTTGAGAGGTGCCCCTTGGAATGGCTTAATTGCAAGTTTGGTCACTCGAATTGCTATAAAATTTCACGTTTGCCACTCAAATTAATTTATTCCATTTATAGTCACTCAAATTAGTTGAACAATTCAAGTTCGGTCACTCTCCGTTAACCTCCGTTAACTTTGACTGACGTGGCGGTCAACTCTGACAGTTGACCGTTAAATGTGTGACGTGGCAAATAAAAAATAATTAAAAAATAAAAAATAATTTTTTAGAAATTACACGTCACTATCACAAAAAAAAATTATAATTGTAAAAAATGAAAAAAAAATATCACAAAAATCGCGCAGCTGGATTGCAAAGGAAGACGTACGTATATGGCTACAGAAATGCTTACACGCAGAGAAGAAAGGAGAGAATGAAGATACATAGCAACTGAACCTGTAGCAACGATTCAAGAGGCCCCTCAACCTCTGAGAAACATGAACTAAATTGACAAATCCCCAGCTCGAACAAATCGAGGGAACCGAGGCATAAGAGTATAAGAGTATGGTTTACAAACAAATGGAGAAAACTCCCGATAGAACAAGTACAAACCAAACGGCTAATCTATTTCCCACAGCATTCGAAGTCTAAAGGGGAGAGAGGAGGAAGTCAGAAAACCATGTACAAAAAAACTGGAATTGGGAGCTCTCAATGTTGTAAGAGGTCCTTCAACAGGACTTGACTGACTCAAGCAAAATGACTCCTTGCCCATGGAACCCCTGTTCTTCAAGTTCATCCCAAACGACTGAATGATCATGGCTATTAGCCCCAACCTTGTCCCAGTGATTCTCCTCTGTTTTTGTTCCCCATCCTCTGTTTTCGGTAGTTTTCTCTCTTGGCGCCGTCGGCGGCCGGCTTGACGCAGACGATCCCCATCCATTCCCTGGATTGTTATTAGATCTATCTTTATTAACGAATTCCCATGGTAATGGCGGTGGAGGCGGAGGAGGCGGAGACGGTGGCGGGGCAGGAGGGAGAGAAGGAAGCTGACATCGTCCAGATGATACAACATGGAAACGGAGAGCGACGAACAACTTGACTACCTGAGATGGCTGGACCTGCAACCAGCGAGGTCAGTTCTGTATGTCTCCATGGGCAGCTACTTGTCCTTTCCAGCAACACAGGTGGAGGAAATCGCGGCAGGTTTGAGCCAGAGCGGGGTTCGGTTCCTGTGGGTGGCTCGTGGCGAGGCGACGAGACTGCAGAAGGCCTGGGGAGGCGACAGGGGACTCATGGTGCCATGGTGTGAACAGTTGAAGGTGCTTCACCACCCTTCGGTAGGCGGGTTCTGGACACACTGCGGATGGAACTCCGTGCAGGAATGCGTGCTCTATGCCGGGGTTCCGATGCTGACGTGGCCTCTCGGCATCGACCAATTGCACAGCAGCAAGGTGATCGTCGAGGATTGGAGGATCGGGTGGAAGGTGAAGGAGGAAGCTTGGATGGGTAGAGAGCGAGTGGCGGGAATTGTGAAGAAGTTCATGGATTGTGAGAACGCCGAAGTGAAAGAGATAGTTCAGTTTAGAACCATAGCTAACGTCATTCCACCAGAGCGCCTGAAAGCTGGTGATTTTCCTGGATTCTATGAAGCTGTGATGACAGAGATGGAATCCCCCTTCGAACAGCTCCTGGATCAGCTCCAACCTCCGGCGACTGCGATTATCGGAGACATTGAAGTCAGATGGGCTATGGGAGTGGGCAACCGCAGGAATATTCCAGTGGCGGCTTTCTGGACGATGTCAGCTTCCTTCTTTTCCATATACGTACGTCTTCCTTTGCAATTCAGCTGCGCGATTTTTGTGATATTTTGTTTTTCATTTTTTACAATTATAATTTTTTTGTGATAATGACGTGTAATTTCTAAAAAATTATTTTTTATTTTTTAATTATTTTTTATTTGCCACGTCACACATTTAACGGTCAATTGTCAGAGTTGACCGCCACGTCAGTCAAAGTTAACGGAGGTTAACGGAGAGTGACCGAACTTGAACTGTTCAACTAATTCGAGTGACTATAAATGGAATAAATTAATTTGAGTGGCAAACGTGAAATTTTATAGCAATTCGAGTGACCAAACTTGCCATTAAGCCCCCTTGGAATTTGTTAAACTAAGATAACAAATGCTTTTTCAAAAATCGGACATTAAAATTATTATAGCTCAGTGGTGTAATCTTCAGCTTATACTCTGTGCGGTCAGCCGTTCGAAGAGCCGCTGCATTTGCCTTTTTCTTTTCTTTTTCTATTTAATTTTCTTAGTCAACTTTTCCTAGTTAGACTACATATGAACAAACATGGATGGTTTTAATTTGTGTCAAGTTTTCCAAGATAGACTAAATATGGACAAACGTGGATGGTTAGACCTGACTTAGTATGTTTGCAAGCATTATAGTCTTGGATTGAGATTTGAATTTTGATAGTAAAACTGAATTGTGTTGTAATGGTTCTCAAATGGTGGTAAAAGTGGTATCCTGATATTGATGCTCTTTATCATCTTGTAAGTGACTAAAATCTAATTACACTCCTAATTGATGGCCAAGTGTAACCACGACTAGGTAAAGTATAGGGTAAGTAAACCAATAAATAGTCAACGTGAGCTGTCTATGTATCCTTAATTAATTCAATAATCTAGTTGTTATGTAGCGATCTAATTGTAGTTAAAACACTAATGATTAAACTAGCAAGCAAATAAAACAAGGTTGAATTCAATGGAGAAAGATTCACCCGGACGATTATCCCCCTAGTATCGTGTTGAGTCGATGATGTGATACTCTAGTGTGATTTACATCAAATATATACAGTTAGGAGATCAAAGCTAGTTAGGATTCCTATTCGAGTTGTCCTAACCCGCCTAATTGCTCTAACCGGAGCAATGTACTAAACTACAAGATTAGTCAACTACGACAACCAAATCCACTCCCTCGGGCGATTACCTGAAATGACATACAGAAACCAATCACCCTCGTTCATGGCCACTTACGATGATTCAATAATGCTCTAAATTACCCTAAGGAGATCTCTCTTAGTTTAATTGGCCCCAAAATTGGGGATATTGATCAAGGACCTTCAATTAACATGATAAATACTCAATCAATAACCGTGCCAATCATCACATACAGTTCACAATCCCAAAACCACAACATCCTAGACTATGATTCACTTCATCTAAGTGAAAAGATAAACTACCCCATGGCTAGAGAAATAACTACAACTAAAGAGAAGGAAAAACCCCATGAAAAGATGAAGTACTTCACCCTAGTTGCTTGGGATGGTGATTGAATAATCTAGCCTCCTTTGATATTGGGTAGCTCAAATTCACCTTCATTCTCCTTTAGTTCATCACCTTCTCTCTCTATAATGAAGAAGAAGATCTGACTCTCTCTTTTCAAAACTCTCCCTTTAAAATCTACTCTCTCTTCTTATTTATACCCGACAATGCATACATCACGGTCTTCCATCACGCTAATGATGTGCAATAAAATCGTGACGTCAACCGAAAACAATGTCATTTAATGGGCCTCATTTAATTTACACACTTCACGACTTTTCTTGTATTCTGTAGATAGATAACAAGTGGCTCAATAGTGTGGCAACTGGCAAGAGAGTCCGTTTGGCTAAACATGTTATTAGGGTTTAAATTAAGAGGTGCAATTATATATTAAATTATGTTGAAGATAAAGGCTAATGAACAAAACTACATATGGTGGTTCCAATTGAATATGTTTAACTTTTATTTTCGTCATCAGCAAGTCAACAAAACCACTTGTTCGTTGATTAAAATAAACCAAATAATTTTAATAGTAGATAGTATATATGAAAGATTAACAATTTGAGTATGTAATCATTAGAGATAATATTTATTTTCATTAAAATTAATTTTTGCTTTAATATCATGAACATATAAATTCTATTTTTGGTTATTGAAAATAACTAATTACATTTAAAATTTTCTCTAAGTAAAAAAAAATTCCCTCTATTTTTCGTTACTAATGCAGATAACTACTATAGAGAAAGAATTCAAACATAAAACGAAATTTAAAAAATCCAAAAATTTCCCACTTAATTTTGTAGACTGAGTGTTTAATCCGCCAAAATTTTGGATTCTCCCACCACAAAAACATTTGTTCCTTCCTCGTCAGATCTATGCGATTGTGAACCTCTCGACGCTTCCAATGTTCCCTTCCTCTCTTGTCTCTTCATCATCCTACCCGCCCTTCCTCATATGCTAACACAAACAGCCATCTCTAGCGCCGACTCCGATCAAAATTTGCAAATCGACGACCCCTCAGTCAATCGGCAGCGCCAGTGCGCCACTACAACCACAACACAGGATGCACGACTCCTCGTTCGGGAAAAAACCCTCCAGATTCAAAGGTAGTAGTGCTTTCACTATTTTGCCCGATTGGAGTTTGGCGCTATAGGTTGCTTGTGTTTTTCATTGTGCAGCTTTCAGTGACTTATTTTGGTAATCTGATTGTAGATAAGAAATGGTGAAAGGGAAAGATAAAATCGACGACGAAGATGTCACCTTCCAGCTCATGGTTGGTAAGGTTAGAGCATCGCCTCTCCCTATCCTGATCTTGATCCCCCTTTCGTTGTTGTGCCAATCATTATTTTGGGTATGGTATTTTGTTACTTATTGTTGTTGAACTCTTCTGAATCAAGTCCTGATGGTTTGTTTTATTTTGCTGCAGGAATCGGTGTCATTCATAAGTAGGTCGCCTGGGGAGATGTTTCTATTATTTGGATTCTCAAGGTAATGTATAGTTATAGCATGAAAGAGGTGCTTGCAATTGTCATATAGAGCTTTATCCTCTGATTGAGCTGCAAAATCTGTCTTCAAAATATTGTCATGCTCCCAAGATGTTTTACTGAAATTGCTATTTATTGCAGCAGAGATTTACAAGTGACCTCCTCAAGGAGTTAGGTGATGGGGTAGAGTTTGCAACTGCTGCTTTTCCGCACCTTTTTTCTTCCTATGGTGTTTGTTTCCAATGTAGCCAAGGTATCAAATTTTCTGGATTTTACTTTTCACTAGAATTTGATCCATAACCTTAACTATGTGTTGGATAGAGGAGTGGAACAAGAAAGAACAATCTTTCCGTATCCTTAAGACCTTAACTGTGTGTTAATCCATAAACCAAGCTTTACCAATTCAGACTTTCTTATGTAAGTTTAGTCTTCAGTATGTTGCGTGTCTGGTCAACTCAGTGCTTTATTAATGAGAGGATCCTTACTTAAGCTATCTAATAATTGTGTAGCCTGGATATATAATTTTATGGTAACACACTGTATATAAAAGAAACAATGAAATTGTTGTCTTGTTATTTGAGTCTTTAGTTTGAGCGTGATGTAGTTATCTTCAGGGTTTAAAAGAAACAATGAAATTGTTGTCTTGTTATTTGAGTCTTTAGTTTGATGGAATTCTTGTCTTGTTGTTTATGTTCCATTGCATCAGTACAATGTATATGTATACAGCTGACGCTTTTAGACTTTAGTTCTTGTAGAAGGCTCTAGCATTTAAAAGTCTTGCTTATTTCCTTGTACAACTACCTTTGATGTTTCTTCAGTGTTCAAAACACATGGTTTGAGATGGATTAATGTTGTTCATTCTCTGTTTGCTAGCGAGATTAATGTTGATTTCGCAGTGTTGAAGGTGTAAGCAAAGGAAGATTATATGGCCCCAACCCGGTATGGCCAGTATTTCACATGAGTTTCTAACTTACGCATGCTAACTTAGTCACCTAATCCTCTCGTCTGCTTTTGTTCTTTTATTTTCGGATTGGGCTGACTTCGGCCAGAGAAGTGAATGATTGTGGAATCATAAGCTGGTGTCTGAAGTCCTTGGATTTAATCCATTTGCTCCGGACTCCGGTTTCACTTGCAGGCAGACAATCCCTGGAGGCAGGCAATTCTTGCATGGTAGTGTGGTTTCTGTTAGTAAATCAAAGATCCAATTTGTCCAAGAATACAAGGCACAAGCATCACTGCTAGTGTTAGTAAATCGAAGTGCAATGAAGGCAAAATCGCACATCGGTGATGACATTTGTAATGAACAGTGGATTTTATTGTCCAATAAAATGTGTCGCCAGAAAATGTCCCGAAAAAATTTGAACCCTGTGCATATGTATAACCTAACATTGTGTATCAAACGCATAGCTGATGAGATCCTTCAGCATCCCGTTGATGATGTCTTTGTATAATCATTCTATACTCAGTGTTCGATTGAGTCAAGGTACTGTTAAACTGGTTTTCAAGATATTATTAGACTCATTTTCAAGGCACTAATGAAGGATTCAGAGCATATAAAGTGTATGGACCGAGTGCTAGTGGATGATTCAGAGTATATGAAGTGGATGGACTCAGTGGTAGTAGACGCAAGACAAAGATTCATGTATTATGCAATTCTTTTGTTCTTTGGTGGGAACATGGTATACTTCAATTCGCAGTGTACAACTTGGAATATCCCTGCTTCCTGTCTTGTATAAAGCGATTGCCTCATTATTGGGCCAATCCTGAAAAACATTGTTACAACTTAATCAAAAAGGGCCAATCCACTTGGCGTCTGGTCAGTGATAGATCTCGATCAGCTTACGCTCCAAACTTCTGTGCCAAGAATTCATCAAGTTGTCCCCACTTAGGGGTACTGGATTCATCCCTATCATCAGATGGCAATGATTTAATGCATCCAAGCATCTGATCAACATCCTTATGCAGCCTGGAGTAAAAGAACACCATGTTTAAGCAAAAACCAAACTGCTAAATTGAACAAAATATCATCAATCTTCACAAAGTTGAAGGATGCAGCTCCTGTCCTTTGTTTGGGGAATCCTCATTTCAAGCCGCA